CATGACTTAGTCCACCGATGTTGCAGCCGCTCCATGAGGCAGGCGGTCGGTGGGCGTCATCGCTTACGACGGTCGAAATGTCGGCTTGCCCAGCAAGTACCAGTAAATTCGTAGATTACAATTTGCATATAGTATCTAGCTGCACAAAGTGGCTGTCCTACCCTTGGCATATCCGGCACTCAACCAACCTACTTGCCTCCACAATGCTGTGCTTTCTTCACTGCTCTCAACCGATTCGACGTGCGAACAAAACCAGACAAACTTCAGAGAAGAAGGGAGAGGACATCAGTAGTTGAATATATTCTGTACAGAAGCCTGGTTGTTGTCAGTGCCCCCGACCGACTGTAGGCCCGCGCACTCCGTGCGATGGAGTGAATAAGCGTCACTTGAGAGTTATTCGGCGTCAGCCTGATCAGATGATTGGGTGATAGTGGTGTGTAGGCGCCCTGTAATTGGCTATCCTCGGGACTGAATGCGCTCACGTTCTAGCGCTCGGGGGTCGTGATCACATGACTCCTAGCTCGGTGTGGGTGCCCGAGGCAGATGAGGTGCTACACGTCTCTCGACGTCGGTGTTTTTGGAGCCAGGTTAGGGAGAGGGACTTTAGACCGCAGAGGGAGAGATGATCGAAAACTCTCCGCGAGTTCAAGTCCAAGCGAAAGCTTGCGCTGCGAATCCTTGTTTCTTCCAGAATGACGTGGCCGTACTCAACGCACAACACTACCGACCATCACGAATAAAGGCGCAAAATGCAGGGTGAAATATACTTGCGCTCAGACCCTTGAAAGTTGTCCAGCTTAGGGTGGTGGTCCATCAGTATGTTTAAAATTAAGTATAAGGGCCAGGCATCGAGTAACGCCCAATGTGAAGGCTGGAGATGGATCTATGCCCCGACTTGCGCTTTCTGAACTGTGTTTATACGAGTTCGTTTGTCCTGAGTGGACGATTTCTAGAGGAACGATGATCCAGTTTACCCAACGGGCCGAGAAACGGGGTTTAAATGACTTGGGAGAAGAAAAAATCCCCCCCCCCCCGACGGGTATGCGCAACCGAATCTCTGCTATTTCAGCCACTGCACGCACTCACATTCACCCACTTTTGCCCCCTGGATCACGATGGGCTCGTCGCCAGGGGTTGAGGTCGATGGAGTCATGTTCGTAATCTACGCCTTGGGTGCAACCTTTCGCCGATGTGGAGAAGAGGGTGCCGCCGATGTCGTATACCGCCCCCCAGCCATTCCGTTGTGCGCCACAAAAACGCCAGGCAAATACATTTGCGGCTTCGACCACCAACCCCGCCTCTCGATGTAGCCCGGTTATTTGCACTTTTGGACCAAACCGCAGTCCGCGCCTGCATACGTGTACTCCTACACCAAAAATGCAAGCCGGCCTGTCTGCATTTTAAAAGCAGAAATTACAGCACCTGCTACATAGGCTTATTGGGGATTCTTTTAGCTAATTACTTGCCCAGTCAGGAGGGCGGTAGGACAAAATGCCACCCGAGAAGTTTGCGAAAATTGTCCGAAGTGGTAGCGGAATATTTTATTGATTTTTCATACCTCTTGGAGACAATACTAAGGACAGTCACGCAGATTGAGACCACGAAAGTTCTTAAACTGTTTGCATGCCAAGTATGACTTGACGGGGGCCGTAAGAACAGACAGCGCGTTGAGCGCTGCCTATCAACGAACTTTTCTCATTTTTCGGGCGCGTGGCAAATCGGCAGTGCTTTTATTTATTGCAGTTTCGAAGTCACACAAACTTGACTGTCTTCTGACTAGGGACTCCTTGGACGCCTAGTGGACTTTAAAATGTCCACCTACGTTGCGACCGTCCTCCAGTGATTAAGTAATCCGCGACTTGGCCATTTTCTGTCCCCCATCCCCGTGCACTCCCGCACTCCTTCCTTGGGTCTCTCTAAACAACCTCCATTTGCCCTTCAACCTGGGGTTTATGTCCTGTCCGACTGTGTATTCGGGCGATCAGCCGGTCGTTGTCCGGTTGATCTCGGAAGGATAGGCTGCAACCGCCGGATAAACAGACTGCCCTCTGTGGCCGTTTCGGTTTCGGTCCTAACGAGCGTTAACCGCCCCCTTTTAGCCCCCCCCCCCCCCCCCCCCCCCCCCCCCACCACCACCCTTCCGTTCGTCCGCCACACCGACCCGAAGTGCACATGTTAGCGCGCGCGCGCCGGACGCACCCTTCCGACGCCATGTGCGCACGCGTACGCACGCACTCGTTCGATCGCGTGCGACTGGGCTACGGAGCCTTGGGCACTCGCGTGCGACTGCCCTCTTCCTATTGGCACGTTGGCGCCGAACGGCCGTGCAGCGTCCAATCGCAGATTGGACTGCAGCCTGTCATCAGAACTGCAATGGCGCATAGCGGTAGAGCGACATGTGTGAACTCGAGTGATTTGACGTAGGCCGTGGCGTGCAGACGCTCGCACACGCACATCTATCGATGGCTCCAGAAATAGCAACGACAGGAGGGGCGCTCTTATGAATAGCTTTGGCCGTAAGTTGAAACACAGCTGGATTCGACAGTTGGCACCAGGTGCAGCGCATAAGCTGACGCATATTGGCGACACACTAAGTACATTTTCGTCTTTCGAACTGGAGGAGGAGAAGTGATGATTGGTGTCGCGCATGTTCCGTTCTCTTGTATTCGTCCGTTAACAGAATAGGTTAAATTGCTCAACCCAACTGCCGTGACGGAGGGTTTTTCCTTGCGTTACACTCTCAGTCGCACATTAAGACCTAGACAAGTCGCACAGATCATGGCATTCACGGCAGAATCGTGCGGGGTTTCTATAAATGGGGTCCTGTCACCACTGATTTCCTCCTATCAGTTGCATATTACTTGGCGTTTGCGACAAGGTTGCCTAATCGACGGGCCATATTCCAACCTTAACCACACATTTGAGGGCAACGGTAGGGTAAAGAACCCCAATTAGCCGTCAATAGACTGCGGATCTTGCCGTACGGGAGTGGGTGCCAATGGGGGTTTTGTGGGTGGGGCAACACACCGGAAAGCACAGAAGACCGCCGGTTGGAAAAAATATGGTTTCGAGGAAAATTATGAATGTATGCAGATGCGTTATCCAGCTGGCTACTCCATGGCTTTCAGTCTTGAAAGAGTGCCCGACCACCAAAGAACTGAGCCTCTCTCCTGGCAGAAATTTCTGTTATTCCTCACTGCATGCTCTGTTTGTCCCCGTGCTTGTTTCTCCACTCTCGGGTACAACTGCCAGTCGTCAGAACTTGACTAGCCTTGGTAAGTGCATACATCCGCATACGATCCGCAGTCTGCCGACAGCCTGCCATTCGGGACATGGACCTGCCTGTATCGGTCATCGAGAACTTTTAAGTCAAACGCCTCCACCTTTAAAGGTTCTGACTACTCAAGCAAGCCATATTTATCGGGGCGAAAGTGGGCAGTTCCGTTCTCCATTCTAAAGATATGTGTTTCGAAAACATTCGTATTCAGCATTGAGTAGTTGAATTGTTGCAGACTGACGACAGCGGACCACCCAGTTGAAAGTGTTCTTGTCCGCACTCTCCTTTCAAGTAAACGAATATTCTCAATCGGTCATGAGGTTCTATGTTTCCACTCGCTAACCACTGTTCCGATGGTGATGATGATAATGATGATGATGATGATGATGATGACGACGACGACGACGATGATGATGATGATGATGATGATGATGATGATGATGATGATGATGATGATGATGATGATGATGATGATGATGATGATGATGATGATGATGATGATGATGATGATGATGATGATGATGATGATGATGATGATGATGATGATGATGATGATGATGATGACGATGGCGTTGTTCGAGGGCGAGGACAACACTTTCATTATGTTGTTACCGACAAAGAAAAGGGAGACTGTCGACGGCGAAGTGCTTGAAAATCCCGGAAATGCCTAAACGACGGAAAACAGTTCGAGAAGGCCTATATGCTGTTCTACACTTCAAGTCGATTAGGAGGACTGTAGGCAGTGCGTAGGGCAAAACTGCGTTCTTATACACTTTTATCGTCCTTCCGTCCGGGTTGGTTTTGATGGGTATGGCATGAGTCCACAGGGCAATGATTACGTTTTAGTCCAGTGAGCAACTGGGCGAGACCAAAAACCCGGCTCTCCTCTGCCTGTGACTGAAATGATGTGACTGATCCCTAACCCCTACTCCTAGCACTAACCTCTAACCCCAAATCCCAACCCTTACCCCTAAACCTGATCCCTTACCCTTACCTCCATCCCCTAATCCCGCTCCCTGACCCCTAATAGATATGGCTACGAAATAAGATTTCAGCGTGACCTCTGCCACTTATACGGGTCTAGTTTTCTCCGGGGAGCCGTAGAAAGTGCGATCAAAACCTGGCGTTGCATGTTCATATCACGTCGGGGTCACCACTTGTTGAGGCAGGATAATCGGCAGTTCGAGACTTCCTAAATCTAAAGGCAGGGATGACCGACAGCGGCAATAAGTACTCTCAGTAGTCATGTCAACAGTTTGAGCTGTTTTCCCGGTAGCGAAGTGGGTGCCCGTGTCTGATCCGCGTACGGTTGCGGCCAATCGACGAGGGCCATGTCACACGCGCGCAGGCAGTGGTTGGCAGGTGAAGGCGGGATGTGTAGGCGGTCGACATGACGACTGCGAGACCAAACCGCTACAAGTTAATATGTTGCTATGCCCTCACTACTATATTAACTAGTCAGTTTATAGTACCAGAAACCTCTGAAAAAGGCCATATGACTTTTCTTATTTTATCCACCTCGTCTGCCAACGGCTGTCAGTGGTGTACAGGGTATAACAGGCTCACATTTTCTACTTTTGCGGTTTCTGAAGGACCCGGATGGCCAATCCACACCGGCCGCTAGCATTCAGCAATTAGAGCTCATCAAGAATTTGGGCCCTTACACCCAAAATATTAATGGGTGGGAAATGAGGAACTTCTTTGCTCATCGCATTTTGAAAAAATAAGAAGCAACCCGGATAATTTTTACTCCTGTTACTGGTCGACCTTGAAAAAAACGAAAAATCACAAAAAATGCGATTCGCGGAAGAGTCCAAGACTGAGTAAATTCCCCCATTTCCGTACTCACTTCAGAGTCTCGGGAAAATATTCGAATTTTTGCGTGACGGCAGCTCTCTGAGTATATTTGATCACTCGAAGAGATCATATTGTGCAAATTTTCTGCCCCGAAGGAGATTATCGTAAATAAATCTCCAAGTGCTTGCAGGACCCCTGCGCCTGGAATATCTTGATGCAAGCAATGGACTTGAGTAGGTTTCATTACAACCATCTTTTCATCGTCTTTGGTGAGCAGGTTTCTGTAATTGATCCGATTTATTCCGTCGTGAGATACTACCCAGACTTACATTTCATTGGTAGGGGACGCTCACCGATCGTTCATACGGATCTCTCTCGTTCCGTTTTGCCTTATGGACTCTCTCTCTCTCGAGCCCAACCAACAGCCGCACAGCGGCGCATGATATAGGCAGAATGGCATTACCGACAAAGACAAGGGAGACTGGAATGTCCATTTCTGGCTTATTAGCCCGTAAAAAAACCCTACAGGGCTTATTAGCCCGTAAGGCAAAACGGAAAGAGAGAGTTCCGTATGAACGATCCGTGAGCGCCCCCTACCATTGTCTATTCCCGATCGAAAAGCGACAGGGCAACGGGCTCGTGGCCCAGTGGTTAGAGGCGTGGACTTCTAACTAACAGGTCGCGAGTTCGAGCCTCGGGTGTTCCACACTTCGGGGTTGGGTATGACTGGCTGACGACGGCTAATAAGCCAGAAATGGCCATTCCAGTCTCCCTTGTCTTTGTCGGTAATGCCATTCTGCTTACATTTCATTGTCATAGGAGGCTGCTTAGCTCGACCAGACGGGAAAGCCGGAGATCATCTCAGCTCCAGAGGACGCTAACGGCGTTGGGAATAACGTCAGCGTCGGTACTGGGACCGAAGATAGGAGTGCTTACTAGTTCGACCGCCGCGTCCGACAATGTCCGCCGTATGTTCTACACAAAGGTGAAGCACGCACGGTGACTTGCACGTGTCTAGTTTACAGTGAGTGTAGATTTGCGCTGCATCTATCGCACTTCCTCCTCCTCCCCTACCTGAGCCTGACGTTAAGATAAAGTCAAGAAGACCGGAGGCGGGGGAGGACGCAGGCGGATGGCGCGGCCGAACCTGCGCCTGGGCGCTCCACTCCATACGTTCCAGCCCACAACAAGCATTTGACCAGGATTTTAACTAATAACAACAACGCCACGACGAGACAGAGGACGACGTTGGTTGGGCAGCCATGCACACGACCTGTATACCCAGGGGGAGCGCAAGCACATCCACCGCCAGAGAACCAGGCACCGGAGAATTGCCGGCGTACATCCGGCTGTGAAAGTCATGGCTAGCTAATCATGGCATAGCAGACGCTCATTAACAGCTATTAACAAAGCCATACCCACTTGTTCTGTGTTGGTCGACGCAACAGAACCTCCCCACTGATTTGTGCTGTGGTACCGTACGTTACCGGCAAGACAGTGAGACCCGCAAGTAACGATCAAGTTTAAAACATCCGCTTAACACAAGAACTCAGATATTAAGAATGTATGTGCTCCGGTTTATCCCTCTCGGATGCATTCGACCAGGACAGTTCCTGGGTCTCAAAACATCATTCGATCGGGGGCGAGGACACTCATTGGTCTTCGCCCCCCCCCCTCCAGCGATACACAGGAAAATAAGTACTTAAAGGTGGAAGCAGACTTTTTTCTAAAAAAAGCATGCATCTTCTTTTTATTGCTTTTTCAGGGTATTTATCGGGTGCCTGCCTCTAAAGTGAAAGTGGCCGCTCTACTCGAACGAATCCGTCCTGCACAGGAGGCCTCCTACGCATGCATTGACCTCTCCGACGAGCACCCCCTCACACTGGCGAGTGCCATCAAAACTAAACTTATCTCGGTACGGCTGCTTTTTACTTGTGTGTCGGCAGTGTTTCTTTTTTCGCCGACTCCGCTTCTGTCGTGACACTCAAAAAGTGTGTAAACTGAGGTGATTAGCAAAAACACTGTGATTGGCTTTTTGTGCCTTCCTAACGTCCTTCTGGGCTTTACCATTGTCACATGTATGGTGCGAATTTTAGCCGGGAAAAGAGGACTGTGGACTTTAGTCGATGAAACACCAATTGCCTGCTGTGCGCATGGTGTTTTTTTCCTATTTTTAACGCTGTCTTGGCGATGCGACAAGTACCGATTTGCTAAGCTTGTAGGCGCACAGAAAAAGGGTCGATTCTCAGGAAAATCTTGAGGTACTTCTCGTGCCAAACAAAATACCCCAAACACATACCTCATTAAAGTTTAAGTGGCACGTCTTAACAGCCACTGAGTCCGAACTCCTCGGCTGACCTTAAGCCCTCAGTTGAAGAGGATGATAGCGCACAGCAAGTACCCGAGTCCTAGTCTGATTCCGTTTCGGATGATGGATTCGAAGGTAGGACATGGGGCTGGGGGCTCCTCGTACTACTGGTGGGTTTGCGCTAAATTCTAGGGGTTGTGGGATACAGGAATGGGTTCCTGCCTGTATTACCGGAAGTCCACATTCCCATGTACGACAAATGCGAGTGTTAATCCGACATGTTAGGTGAATAAACTCCTGTTCCGATGATCGCTCCTCTTTCTTCTTAGTACCTGTGCTGAACTCCTGGACGATTTAAGAGTGCTTACCGTCTTATTTCCACTAAACATACATGTTCTTATACTGTAGATCGCCCTACTTAATTGGGAAACAAGTGTCTCCCTCGAACAGTTAGGTGTTCTTCACAGATTGTCTGAAAATTCCTGCCTTTACTGGAATCAGCAAGCGCGAACAATCACATTCATGAAATCTACCGGAATTGCTCTCACGTCCGGGGGTTTGGAGGCATACTAAAAATCTGAACTCCTGCAGTGGCACATTGCTACTCTCCTCATCTGCGCTTTTGCTCGGAAATCATCGCGTGTGTCGAGAAAAAGTCGTGCATCGGTTGGTACCTCACGCTTGCTCATGAATTGGTCCAGTCTGTTAGTTCTGAACTGGCAGATAGGAGTGACCAAGCCAGCCAAGACGACGAAGAGTGCCAAATGGACTTTCAGTGGCTCGCCCACTTACTTCGGATGTTTCTTATTCGACATAACGCATAACTCATTATGTCCTTTTCTTGTGTTACTTTGGAGACAAAGGCGCATTCTTTGAGCAGAATGCTTCGTTGACTGTCTCAATATGCTTTGGCCTCTATGTTCATTCTCCTCAAAAAGCCGGCCCTCGGCTTAATGATCGTTGCCACCTTCAGATCCCTCAGTCAACTCTTCTCTTCTTCCTCTTAATCCCTCTTCCACATGGTCTTCATCACGATTATCTCCAGCATTATTTGTGCTAGGTCATGTGGTTAATGTCGGTGATTTTTTATTTAATTTGGTTGCCTATGCTTGTGCATAAACATCTCTCGCCAATTTCCTCCTTCCTAATGGTGCGGTTAAACACATTGGTCTTTCCAGACTGCTAATCTAGATGCAAAACAAAATCGAGCCTTTCTGAAGAACCCCAAACTTTATGACCTCCACATGAAGATGTTCTTGTTAAGTGGGGTGGCGGGACTTGGCAGCAGTGTCTTTATGCTAAAACAAAGGGCATGTTCTCTTTAACTAAAGACAGAAAAGACATTCTGCTCGTATTCACAAACAACAGGGCTTTGTTTTAACTCATGCGCTGTGTTAACCTTTTTTCAGCTACCG